AAAAAAAAAATACACGACACACAGCTGGCACACAGGAAAAAAAAATATGCTGGTGCAGTTACAGAGCCCGACACAACGGGGAGCCTGTTGGGGGGGGGTCTCCATTACTAAGGCTGTCGAGGTGTAAATATTTTGCCTGTCAAAGTATTTCCTTCCTATACAGCTGTCAGAATTCATGCTTTAGAGTCCGAAAGACTGAAAGATACTCATTCTGAGCTGACTGACGCATGTTTGTAAGGGATGCAACAGGTAGGCAGGGGGGCTTTCCAGCAGTTCTAGGTGGTCCAAGTCACCGGGTGAGGCAAAGGGTCGAGGATAAAGCAGGGTAAGAAAGAAGGGATCGGAGCCCAGAATATTGCCAAAAGAGCGTAAGGGAATCCATTCCACTCAACAAATCCATCTTGACCTGGATATTAGTCTCCTAGAATGCTGTTCTCACGTCAAAATACGATGAGGAATGTGACAGGCTTACTGACAACGGACGTCTGTGAATCCACAAAGTGAGATTTCAGCAGCCCAAATGCTTTATTACATGTTGACAGGCGCGTCCAACACGCAATATTTATCACTGAAACGTCTGCCCTTTTCATGTGGGATGTCCAAAAACAATCCAAAGTGTTCTCTCTAAGTGTTTTCCGATTGACCGATAGATTTGGGGGGCGAAATACACATAAAATGTTGGGTTAACTCAAGCTGTCCACCCATCGTGTCCAAAATCGTCCGCAGGAATGCAACCGCAGCAGTTTGACGCAAAGCCAAAGTGAGCTGCAAGCTGGGAAACAGAGATGAGTTCAATCCAGCGGACTACTAATAGCAACACAGTTTTTCTATGAGAACCGCCGAAATGGAAACATGTGTTTTCATTTTGTGTGTGTGTGTGTGTGTGTGTGTGTGCTCACTCATGTGTCTGTTTGTGTGTGCACATAGACTCAAACAAAAGCCTAGTGTGAAAAAAAAAAATGCAATATGACCTTTACAAATACTTACAGAAGGGAGCAAAATGTGGAAAACATTAGTGGTCCATCCCAACCGATATCAATTTTTGGGCTGAGGTGTAGATTTCTTTCGGGAAAAACCTTTGCAAATGCATCTGTATTGCAGCTTCTCCTGCCCAAGAAAGGCCCAAATCCCTGATACAGGGGTAAAAGACTTAAAAAAAAAAAATAGTATGTGTAGAGAAATCTGTACACAATAAGTCATTGCATTCGTTTTCTATATTACTTATTTTGTTCAGGGTGATGAACACCTGGAGCCTACCCCAGCCTGACTTTGGGCAAAAGGCAGACCACACGCTGAACTGCAGGTCACTCGATCATCGTAAGGCAACTATAGGGGGGACATTTAGGAAATCGCCCCCCTCTGAAATCTAACGTGCTTGTTAGTTTGGGAGGAACGAGACAAGCCCAGGAAGCCTGTTAGCTCAACAGACAGCTGCTGGCTAGAGCCTCTCATTGCGGGGCATCAATTAATTCAATAACCTACTATAAATTTATGATCATTGTCATTATCAATGACTGGTATAACTACCACCTAATTAGTTAACTGTACTAATAAATTCTTATGTAAACTCTCATGCCATCATCTGCATACTTATGACATTAAAATAGTAACACTCTCAAATACAAGCTTGTGGGGCCAAAAAACAAGGGGCTGAGAAGAGAACCTTGAAGGATCCCACATGTTGCTGATAGCCCGGGGACCCCAGAATCATGTTTCCTCTGTGACTAATGGTGCGAATAGCAACAGAGCTTTTCAGTATCATGAGGGGCTCTGTCAGAAAAACGTGACAAAAAAAAAAAATACTGAACGATGCCATTAGAAACACAACAACATTATATATTCTTGAGGACAGTAAATCAAGTTTGGGGATTATGGTGATGCTACTTTGACATGACGGAGATTTAAGGAATCCATGAATACATTTCAGATTTAATGCCTTGAGGTGACTCAATAGCTAAGTGGCTTGATAACTATATTTCATCCGATACTGACTCTGACAATATCATTTGTTTATTCCTTGCAGTCTCCACTACGATGCAAACCGTATTTAAAGTGTCGCCTGTCTCGTGATTTATCAGAGGCGCTCATATCACTCTCACGCTTCCCCTCCTTCCTTCTCTTGTTTTTCCATAAATTGTCAAGGAAACGTCAATGTAAACAAACTTCCGGTACTGGAAATAAGCATATTTGTCCTGGCTCAGACACAATCCAGAAGATATTAGCCATGTAGGAAATGCGCCGAATATTACGGGCCCCGACATTCCAGGCCAAGGAAGACAGTTGGTGCAAACCTCCGACTGCCGCTCTGCTCCGATTTCTCAAAATGTCAGAGCTTTCGTATTCACAGCGTGCGCGGTGGTGTGCTGCAGGACAAAGCTGGCTGTCCCGCGTGCTGAGTCATTGCGGTAATTAAATGTGACTGGGCGCTTGCAAGGTCAACTTTGGATGCCTTAACGCAGTCCAAAGTTACGGGCTCATTAGTAAGAGACAGGCTGAGCGACCTTTTACAGTTTATTTTCTTCATTTGCACCTCTTTGGTTCGTTGATGACCCAGTTTTCCTTTTGCTGCATTTGCTTGATGAATCTATCAATCCGCATGTGTGAGGTCTCAATGCCACATCGCTTATATGTGCTGCAAATGAGCCCTAAAATGGAGTTGACTGGTATTCTAATGGTTTCGTGTAGTTTCCTTAACTGGTTAGTGTGGCTAATGAGCCAGACAAGAACACAATGAAAGGCAATTTGGAGCATCCAGTCTACCTGTTTTAGCGTATATTTTGAGCAGACTTTGGAAATATCGTAGAGTGTTGCTGACTGAGCCTAAACACAATCATGAGAGAGGAGGAGAAAATAAATCACATCCTGAAGTTAAAATAATTCAACTTGGTCCTGTGAGGTTATTATAACAGCAAACTTTTCTCAGGAAAAAAAAACACACGAGTCATTGCTTTTGGCTACACGCGCCGGGCTGAATACACTAATATCTCACATCCATGCTTCTTGCGATTGGCCCCCGAAACTCTGGAGGCCATGGTGCATTCATAGTGCAGCTTCTCACAATGCCAAAAAAAGTAAACATCAGCAAGCAGTGCTTGTTTTTTATTTTTAGGAAAGATTTATATGATAAGGGTGGGAATCACCCGGTTGGTGGGAATCATGAACACGCTACATCATAAACGTGAATGATTAGGTACGCTTATGCTAGGGAACTAATATTTTAACCAGCAAGTGTACAAATCATTTGAAATGCCTGAAATACATGCTTATGTTGAAAACCAAAATACCTTTTAAATATACAGGAAATATACTTCACCTTACTACCACATTTGTCGACACTCCGTAACCTAAATTTTGTCAGAACCCGCTTTAGCCTCTATCGCTAGCCGATGCTAACCCGCTGTAGCCTCTATCGCTAGCCTATGCTAAGCCAGTCAAGTGAGGTATTTGCATTTTCTCTCTTTTTCTTACACATCGACGCCAAAAATCACATCAGGTTCATTGAAGACTCGATTTGTGCCCAATGCCAGCGAGGATAAACTCCCTGTCAGGTTCATTGAAGACTCTCACATAAGTGTCAAAGTCAGTGTGAATGGTTGGATGTCGATTTGTGCCCAATGCCAGCGAGGATAAACTCCCGCTTAGCCACGACGCGAACAAGGGTACATGCTCCAGATAATAATGACCTGTCACAAATTTCTGACTCAAGCTTGACTTTTACATGTAAAAGGTAAGAGAACAATCAAAATCTTTCCGATTCAGTAAAATAGCTTCATCTTTTGACGGTTGAACACAATCAAAACAAGAAAATAAATAACGTTATGTTCACCCGTTGTGTGCTATCTGACATGCCAGATCTCCAAGGCAGATGACGGCCCATGAACGAGCGTGTGTTCTTGGCTCCGAGCGGCAGATCTCCTCCTCCGGGTTCTCGGCGTGCTTGAGAGATATGAGATTAGACAGCTGCAAGTCACACTCATTGTCCTTCGTTAACAAGTGTAATTTGTGCCTCATTCTGTCATCCGGCTCGTCCAAGAGCGCCTAAATTCATTCTGGCTCTCCGCGGAGGTTGGAAGAATCATCGCGCTGGCATCCGCCGTGGCGCCATCTGTGATGAGGAGAGCCATGCGCAGACACGTAAATAATCCAATCGAAAGAGTAAAAAGGCTCTCCGGTTGATAACATACAGTGCTTATCCTTAGGCACGCACACACACACACACACACACATTCGGTACATACAGTACACTTGCATTCCCACGGTTGCTGTCAGCCTGATCCCCCATTGTCATCGAATCCCCTCATCCCCCCTCCCCCAAACAAATTACAGCTGCAACAAATGAGATGACGCTATTCTCTGATGTACCTCAAATGGGTGAGTTTGCACACGAGTGTTGACAGCCGATTGTAAAATAGATTCCAAATCACGCCATTGCTCAGACACTTGGAAGGATGTAGCATCGAGTACGACAGCAGACAGGCTGCCAAGTTCACGCTCGGCTGACAGTTTTGCTGAATGGGCTGATTTCCTTGTTACTGCTTTTTAAGTATTCAATTGGCTCCTCCGATTCCCTTCTGCACAATTCACTGGCCTCCGTCATTCGGGTTTGCTTTATGTAGGCCACCGGCTCCGAATGCCGGCCCTCACCTGGCATCAGAGAGGAGAAAAAGGCGGTTTGGAAAACACTTTGACAGGATAAGTGCCAATCCATTCAAGAGTCAGATGTGGAGAATAATCTCTTTTCTTTCATTTCACAGGTCACCCCTCCATTTTTGGAAGGAGCGTATCCTCATTCAGGTCACAGCTGAGCTGGAGCCACTCATCTGACTTTGGGAAAGAGACGAGGCACACACCCTGGACTAGTTGCCAGCCAATCGCGAGACACGTTAAGACACACCTTCACAACCGCAGTCACACCTGTGGACAAACTGGAATATTTTCGGGATGCGAAAGGAACACGGAGAACGTGGGACGGAGTTCCTTATTCTACTGCTATGAACGTTGTTTAGGCTCGTTCTTTTTCTGGCCAAAGAAAAAGGATGTGTGGGTTTTCACTGTACTTTTACAGATACTTCTCGTGAAACATTACTTATAAATATCATAAGAATACACTTAATTTTTGGTGGAGCTTGATGAGAGGCAGGCTTTGATTTCACATAAGAGAAATCAGGATGATATGTTCTCCTCCTCCAATCAGAGCTCAGCTGGTCCCACGGGTCACATTTGCACGACTTCAGTACTCGTTCTCTGTCGGAAAATATGATTTATAGTCCCTTTATATATGCTAGAATGAGCATAAATATTAGCAGTGTGACCTTAGTGTCCTCCAAACTGGCGCAAGCAATCATGGCTCAATTTAATGATGATTTAAATTGTCCCAAAGAGCTGCCGACCCATGGACGGTGTCACTTTAAGTCGTGGAAGTCGTAGGACGGAACCGGAGGGCTTTAATTAAATATGCAAATCCGGCGGTGAGGCAGAGTGCTACTATTAAGCTTTAAAATTTCAAAACATAAGCTTGCGTCCTTCATATTTGGGTAACATTATCGAGCTCAGAGGGTTTAAAAAAAAAAAAAACTGGAATAGCTCTCAGTATGGTGATATCGAATTGTACAACGCTAACAACAATACTGCACAGCGATTTGACCTGGGTCATTCATGTGGTATATAGCAGAGACTTCCCAGCGTCTTATTTGGAGTCGTCTGTTTGCGGTTTTGACAAACTTCATCGTGTCTTGCATGTGTAGCCGTTTACACCAATATAAGCAAAGGTGCGACTGTGAATTGTTTCAAGTGTGCCTCATCGTCACGACGAGAGCCAGAAGTCAAAACGATAACTTTGCGTCGAAAACCACTCGTCAATCTCCGCCCTTCTTCTTCATATTCTTCATCCTTCTCAGTTTGGCTCTGGCTTTTGCACCCGCATCTCCACCCCCCCTCAACCCCCCGCCCCCTTTCCATGCATTTGAACACTTCAGTTGCCATTTAGGCCACAGAAATATGACATCTTGTGCTCTAATGATTTGCAGACTATAAGTGGAAATGCCCAGCATGAATCATGAAAATGCATTTTTCCATTTCCATTACGGAGGAGACGACATGCTCCCGGAGAGATTTACACCATCATTGCTTTCTCATCCTCTCTCGCTCTCTCTCTCACTCTGTAGCATCCTCTCATATCTCCCTCCCTCTAAAATGCACTTTCCGATTCAGCTCATTTACACTTTGAATAGTGCTTTGCGTCAGTCAAGTTCAGCCACGTGCAGGACAGGAAGAGTAGAATGTCTCACGATATTGCCGTTTGAATGCGGTCCGTTTATACAGATCCATCCGAAAAATCATTATTTTAGCCCACTGGGCAAATCGACTTCAATGATTAAATGAATCAAAGATTACTTTGTGGGGTTTCAATTTGTGCAGTTGCATGCTTGAACGCAGACACGCCAGACTAGAGCAATTATTGGAACTCTTGTTTGAAACATAAGACTCGGTCCTCGGAGCGCAACACGAGGTTTCTATTTTTTGGTCCTCTGAAAGACTGTGTGGGAATTTACTTGGTAAGAAGGATTATAAGCGTGATAATGCCGCAGCTGGCTTGTTTGTAAATGCACAGGCAAGGTTAAGCAATTCGATCTTTTGCGCAAAATGATGTAAATGATATTCAGAACAGAAAAAAAAAAAAGTTTAGTTGTTCAAATACATTTACACAAAAAAAAGTTTCATTGAGTATTTAAGTGGAAAACGTGACTGATTCAAAGACAAAAATACTTTACCACCAGTCATTTTTTTTGTTGTAATTTGCCTTTGTTTTTTGGGTTCCGCACAACTGTATCTGGTTCAACGCACACCCAAAAAAAAATAAGCAAAAGTTAGCTTTAACAAAATAGCGACACGCAGCATTTATCTTTTGTAGCCAGTTCAAAGAGCATTTCAGGTAATGCATTGCCACTCTCGACACAAAAAAAAAGGAAAAAAAGGAAAGTCCTCTTTCGTCTACGGCCAGGAAATGAGCAGGGTTCAAATGGAAGTGTTCAACAGCTGGCCGAGCCGATCTATAAACAGATGATGGCGAGCCTGATTGCAACGGCGCACTGTGCTACGTGCGGCTAAAGTTTCAACCTTCTGCCGCGGACCGTAAATCATACAGCACAAGGTAACACAAGCCAGATGTTTATTCACCATAGAGCCTGTGAATGTGCGTGTGCCAATGAGAGGTTGTGGGGACTGTAAATGAGGTTAAAAAGCATCTTCAAAACGGCATGATAAATGCAATACATTATGCACTCTTGCCCAGTTTTGACTGACACTGTGTGAGAGGTATTTGTTTAACGCCAACGTATGTTTAATATTGTGGTCGCATCCTGCAGTGGTGCACATCTGCATGAAATCATACCTAGAGCGGTTTGTATCTTTTTGTCCCAAACAAAATATTTGTGAATATCTTTTGCTTGACGTTGGATCTTTTGTAGGTGTAGTTCATGACTGCGGTTATGGGACAATTAAGTACTGAATGACTGCTGATATATGATTTTGAAACAAAATCTCACAAAGTATTGGAGATTTCCATCCATCCATCCGCTATTTGAGCCGCTTTATCCCAATGAGGGTCACGGGCGTGCTGGAGCCTATCCCAGCTGACTTCAGGCAGTCGGCGGGGCGGACCCTGAACCGGTTGCCAGCCAATCGCAGGGCACACAGAGACGAACAACCATCCGCGCTCACACTCACACTTAGGAATAATTTAGAGTGTTCCATTAACCTGCCATGCATGTTTTTGGAATGTGGGAGGAAACCAGAATACCCGAAGAAATGCCAAGCAGGCACGGGGAGAACATACAAACTCCACACAGGAAGCCCGAGGAAGCTGGAATCGAACCCTGCACCTTCGCACTGTGACGCCGACATGCTAACCAGCAGCCCACCGGGCCTGTACGTTCAGCGGTGTGTTAAGATCTGAACTGGTTCCGTGACCACAGTCCTAACGCAAATCGCAAGTAAAAAAAAAATATCAAGTCACCTTTCTCCATTAAAATGAATTAATTCATCCGTTTCAGCCACCCAAAATTTGAAATAAAACGTTTGTATTGTGACTGCACAGAATAAAAGGACATTTTGCCACATTTTAGCTGGAATTCAATGGACATTTGAATGCCGCTCCTTCTGGTGTGAGCATCTTGGCCACCAGGGGCAGTATAATGCAGCGATTCATCCCTCCATTTTCTGAACTGCTTATCCTCGTGTACAAAGTACAAAAAGACGGCTTCAGCAGAAGCAAGATCTTCGCAAAGGATAAAGAGTACGTGAGCATTGCTATATTGTCTGTCTGAACATACTGTGTGTTGTGCGGGTGTTTGTGTCATTCGCGTCATTAAGGCAGATTCACATTGTGCGCAAGTGCGTCGTCCTCGCTTTGACAAACGCGCCACTCGCTGCGCCCTAACAGGACTTTTATTGAACTCTAATGTGTGGAGACAGCCTCCGTATTGGCCACTATGACGAGCAGCGAGAGGACCGGATGAATATTGAAGGCGAGAGCCAAAGACGCCGACGGTGATAGAAGTGATTTCAAAGCTGACAGGACAAAGCCACTGGAGGGAAAACAGACGACTGACAAGACTTCGGCCAGCTGATTGCACCGACGGCTGCACACTGGACTACAAACCTGAGCACAAATCGATCTGAAGTTAGACTTGGCCAACTTCTTCAGGGGCACACTTGCTAATAGTCTCCCATTTAATTCCTTTAAATTACACTGCACAACAGCAAATTTTAATCAGACCTGGCATAATGTGTCCCTCAACATATTTTTGGTGCTGATTTTAAAAAAATGTCTTTACCTCGGACTGTGATGCCTGTGCCACATTTCTCCGTGACATTCTGGTTTGAAAGAAATTCTCTACGCTGAGGCCTCTCAGAACAAACTCAGAACAGGTGAACATCATCGCCCAATTTTTGTTGTTGTTGAACTCCGATTTGGTGTTTGACTTGAGACTCCAATTTAACCTCACGTACCTCAGGCATTGTTGTGCCAGATACATCGATATGTTTTTAACGACAAGTAAGTAAAGGAAAATGAAGTCTGGTCAAGATCACCGAGCACCAAGTTGA